ATGTGTGAGTAAACGTCATTAATACTACATTAATACTAGTGATAGCAATGTTATTCTTAATTTCTAAAATCTAAGTAAGAACATTTTTATTAATAGATTGATAGGTTGATTGATTGGTCCTTGATGCTGTGTCATTGTTTGCTTTCATTAGGAACAGGAATTTTCTTTTTCTTTGGTGATCTGATGGGAGGCTCTGGGCAGATTGACAGAACGTAAAGTTGATGTAGATCGGTTTATTTAATTAATATCATTTAAGCCGGGCGTACACTGTGTGATTTTTTTTCAATTGTTGCACGCAGCTAATGCTCACGATTTATGTTCGGCCCGACGCTCTGGTGCGACCTACCTGCTCACACTGTACGACTAAAAACCACGTTGGACTCAGCTCCACAGTGAGATGGAGCTGCTCTACACGTCTATCCAGAAGCCAAATGAATAGAAGAGGAATATTGAGCACTTTAGTGAAACGCGCTGCCTTGGGAATTTGCGCATTTTTGTGCTGAAAGCCCTAAAAAGAAAAGGCGGTGACATATTTGGACAGAGACATGGCTGAACAAAGGTAGCTACGACGGTCTGTCAATTTTACAGAGAAAACTGCATTTCACCGATTGTATGGCTGCCATGCTGCTCTGCTGAGAGGAAGAATAAAAAGAAGAATCCTTCATTGCACACGTGCCCTGAGTGATTTTCCCACGACGGTCGGGAATCCTGACCTCACGATTCCTGATCGAGAGGTGACCGTGAGAGGCTGATCACCTCTCGTAACCCCCTGTACACTACACGACACACGATCAGGATAAAAGTCGGCCCCATCGAAAGATTTTAGCGCGACTGGAAAATCGGCCCGAAAATCACACAGTGTACGCCGGTATTTATTCTTTGACCACTCCAAGCTATAACTTTACTGCAAGGCATTGCAGGAAAGTTGTACTAGATAAGAAATCACAATCTATTTTTTCTGATTGTTATTTGGTATTGCCTATAGGTGGCACCACGTCTGTTTATGTTAGCTCATTACACCCAGTGATGGAATTCTATTTAAGCCCAAAAACTTCTATGAGAACAGATGGTTGGTAAATATAACCTTATTTCTATCATTATCAAATTTAACTGCACTTTTGAGTTCATATGTGAGCCAAAGTAGGTGATTGAATACTTTTGACAGTAGAATGTATGAAAGACTTTATTTAAAAATAAGAGCAATAAATACATTTAAGTGTTGAAAAGTTTTATATCTAGATATTTTGATTTACTGAGAGCATAAAATTTTTTTTGATTAGTTGAGTATTGGAGGACTAAAAAAACAATAGCTGCAGTCCTGACAGAGCATTTTTTATGATGTTTAGGGCATCCTTTACATGCAACCAGGGGAATTGAGGGAGGTAATGGAATCCAAAAACCGCATCCTATCAAAAAGACAGAAAATGTCTTCCCCTCCTCTCACTAAACCCAAAGACGAAAAAAAAAAACCAAAACAATAATATAACACTGTTTCCGTTACAGTATTATGTTTTAGACTCCGGAAAATGTCCTTTTCAGGTTCCCATACATTGGGATAAAGGAATAAAAACTGCATTTATGGCCTAATACTGATACCTTTTTTAAATGTTTCAGATTTTGTATTGTCTTTTTTTTTTCCAAATTTAATTATTTAAAAATTTTGGTTGACTTGATTTTTATGAGTTGCATTCCTTTCAAATCCTATTTTTAAGAGGAGAGATCTGTAAAACCGGATTTAGGGAGAAAAAGCCCAACTAGTAAAATCAGTCTCCCCTTCAAAAAATGAAAAAGTTAAATTTGTAAACTCAAATTTGAAAAAATGGAAAACTGCATAAATATTGGTTAAACTTTTGCATGCAGTATTTTTGCATTACTCTTAAAACGTTTGTTTTAATGGAGATATTTTAAAAGTGCCAATTTAGAAATGTATTTTATTTAGATTTTCTTCCATTCAAATTTCTCTCCATAATTGGTTATCAAGTATTGATAACCAATTATGGAGAGAATTTTGAACATTTCAATTCAATTCAGCAACGAAGTCCAAATCCCTAATTTTGGGAAAAAGAAAATATATATGTTGTTTTTGTTGTGGTTATTGGTTTAATTACTTTTCTTTTGTCAGTGTTCCTTAAAGGCCAGATGTGTACAATGGGTCTTACACAAGCTAGTGTAGTAAAACTCTCTCCTGAAATGTATGTCACTACAGCTCCTCCAAAGCTACCATGGGTCTGATTGCATCTTTCTTTATTGATATTGTTGTTGTCCTGCTTGAAGATTCTGTCAGGTCCTGATACTCTCCTTCCCTTTTTAGACGAAAATGGAATGGGTTTCTCCATCCATCTATCTATTTTCCATCACACTTTATCCCAGCTGGGGTCGCAAAGGGTGCTGGTGCCTATCTCCATCTGTCTCGAGGCGAGAGGCGGGGAACATCCTGGACAGGTCGCCAGTCTATCGCAGGGCAACACGGAGACAAACAGGCAGAGATGGGAAATGTGGAGTCAACAAGTCATCTCCATGTCATGTATTTAATCTACCCAGCCAATTAACCAGGTGAGTCCAATCTGCACAGGTTGATTCACGGTGAAGATTTGACTCACCTACTTCAGTGGTTGGGTAGATTAAATACATGACATGGAGATGACTTGTTGACTCCACATTTCCCATCTCTAAAAACAGGACAAAGAACCATCTACACACACACTCACACCTAAGGAGACTTTGGCTACGTTCACACTGCAGGCCTTGATGCTCAATTCTGATTTTTTAGTGAAATCTGATTTTTTTTTTGCGTTGCTGTTCACATTTCCAGATATGAAACCTTTATGTGATCTCCTGTGTGAACTGCAGTCATACAACACAAGTGTCCCGCATGCGCAGTAGAGGACGCGATGACGTCACAGGCCAGCGTTTACAGAAGTGTAGTGCCGGCGCGCATCTAGCGGTCTTTTTCAACCATAAAAACTCAATCTTTTTAATATTTTTAAACATAAATACTGCTCTCTGCATCATCATCTGCCATGGTTGTTGTTTTTCTTGCCGCTTCTGCGTAGTAAGACGCAGAATAGTGACGTTCAGGTCGGAGGAATCTGGCCTTTAAGACACAGGTCGCATTTTTAAAAGATCAGATTCGTATCGGATTCAGGACCACATAGCCAAGTGGCCTGGGTCGCATTGGAAAAAATCGGATCTGTGTTGTTCAGACTGTTATGAAAAGATCAGATCCAGGTCCAAATGGCCAAAAAAAAAATCAGATTTGGGTCACTTCAGGTTGCAGTGTGAACGTAGCCTTAGAGATGACAATTAACCTAACAGGCATGGGTTTGAACTGTGGCAGAAAGCCAGAGTACCCGGAGAGAACCCACGCATCAACAAGGAGAACATGCAAAAAGACCCCGGGCCAGGAATGGAACCCAGAACCTTGTTGCTGCAAGGCAGCAGTGCTACCCACTGTGCAGCCCAGAATGGCTTTCCAACTGACCTAACTCTGCTTTAAATTTAACCACAAATTGACCCAAGAAATAACATCTTAACAAAAAAAACATGTAAAAATGGAGAATCGAGTGAGGTATGCAAATAAAACAAATGCAAAAAGGAGACAGATTTTTGCTCCTCATGATCCTCTAAGCATGCTTGTTATCGCCTCTTGCTGATGTTCATTTCATTAATGTTCCTGCAATCTCTGTGCACTCATGACTCCATGCAGTCAGAGGAAGCCCTGACCCCTCAGGGGGGCTGCACTGTGAGTCAGGAGGAAAAGTCCAACACTAATGTGGAAAAAGGAAAAAGAAAACGGCTGCAGATGGTCTTCATAGTTTACATTTTGTCTTCCTCTTTCAAGAATGTGCGTGTGTGTGTGTGTGTGTGTGTTGGTGTGTGTGTGTGTGTGTGTGCATCTGAGTTCTCACGCATACTGTATTAGGGGCCAGCTGGGTTGGCCTGGGCTCTACACATGAGCCTGATTATGACTCAGTATTGCATTACTGACATTCCTCAATAGATATTTTCTTTTTCTCCGTTCCTCTTCTTCTTTCCCTTCTTTCCAGCTAAACCTTCCCTCGTTCTGCTCCTCCGTGACCCTCACAGCAAAGCCCTAAACGCGTGGCACATTAACCATTTGTCTCCACATCATTTAGGTTTTTTTTTTCTTTCTCTCTCTCTCTGGTGGATGTTGAAGCTGTCGGTGTGAGTTACACATGTTGCTATGGCCCTAACACTTCAGCCCAGTATTTCACATGCAGCTGAGGAGGAGGACGAAGATAGGAGGCGAGGGGAGGGGCCGGGAATCGGAACAGTCGGAGCCCGCTCGAAGAAAATGTCAGAAGATGCAGGAGAATGAGGGACGAGCCTCTCGGCCCCGTGATTGGCTCAGTAGTTTGAGCTTGTCTGCATGTGTGTTTGAGGAGTTGTGGGCGTGTTTTAGGAGGGGAGAAACACGGCGTGGCGCCATCAGTAAAAGGAGCTGACGGAGACAGTTTTTGGACAGCGGGATCAGGTGGATGAAACACAAACCTTGAGATAAGAGAGTACGTGACAGGTAGCAGCTCCCCGTTTACAAATCCCACACTGGGTTAATCCATGAGGAGGAGGAGGAAAGGAGCGACTGCTCATACTCCTCCTCACGGCTCAGCTTTTTATGCAGCACTGGAACGAGGAGCAGCCTCCTCCGTCTCTCCTTTACTTTCGTCCTTCCTCTGCCACTTCCTGCCCCCCTCCCCACCCCTTTTCCCAGTTACCTCTCGAACATTTGCCTCGCCAATCTGTCCTTCCTTTCCTCTCTCTCTCTCTCCCCCTTCTCGCTCAGTCTCCTCTCTCTCCCTCCCTGACTTCCTCCTCCCTCCCTCTGTGTCCCTCCGTGTCACTGGAGAGTGTCTCAGTGTGAAAATGCCATCCTGTTCTCCAGACTGTTGCCTCTTACAGGCTGTGGAGGTAAGGGACCTGTGTGTGTGTGTGTGTGTGTGCGTGCGTTTCTTCTCCGATCTTCTGTTCTGAGGCTTACATCGGGGTTTTTCACGTGAGCGACCAGTTGGCAGTTTTCAACCGTATGGATCTGTGTTGGTTTTCGTTTTTCTTGATTTTGTGTTTTTAAAAGTTTTCTTAAACTAAACCTACGCATCTTCCGTTAACTTTACCGTTATTGTGTGTTTGCTTGTGGAGAGGCATGTGGGAAGAGAGGAGGCAGGCTTCGGGCTTTGCAGAGGGCAGAAAAAGTGCAGTGACGTTGTTTCGGGTTTCAGACTGAGTCTTTGTGTCTGTCTTCTGGTGCTGGGGATGTTTTGTGGTTTTTTTTTCGTGTGTTTTAAGCATTTTGTTTTAAATATTGCGTCTTCTTAACTTTGCTAAGCTTTTGTCAGGCTTCATTTTCCGCCCCCTCCCTCCTCACGTCCAGCCCCTTATAGCCATCACCAGTCTTCTGTCTCTTCATGTCATCTAAAGCAGCGGCTTCCTGTGCAGAAAACGTGTCAATTTCTGCTTCCACAAGAGTGAACAAACAAGCATGCACACCTATAAATGGTTTTTGGAGCGTTTTGGTGTCGTCTTTTTGGTTTGCAGACACTTTCTGACGCTGGTTCCCTCAGAGAGGGAGTCCTGTGCTGTCAGTCTAGCGCTGCTGGGGTGAGGGTTATCAGTGGAGCGCCGCACTCAAATGAGGGCAACATTACACCCGGTTTAAATGTCGCTTTGGGCACTGGGCTGGAATGGTTCAAAATGGCGCAACAATGGGAGGTTCTCCAGCGTTAAACCCGATCCGTTTGCTGCTCCCAGCGGTGACATTTTTAATGACAAAATGCAACATCTATAAATCTAACGGGTTATTTCACTGACCAAGTGTGACTGTGGGACTTTGTATAAATCTGTGTTTGGCTCAGTCTTGTGTCCGAATGGTTTGGTTCCTTGCGTGTGTGTGATTTCTGGGATCAGATGCGTACTCGCTGGGTTTCGTTGGACTAAGTTTTTGGCTGCGCTGTGGACAAAAGGGCTGAACTAAAGGCGCAGGGGCAGGCCAGCCTTTCCTGGACGTCATCCCTCTGTTTTTTTTTCTAAAAGCTCCTTTCATGTTCGAGTGACAGAATCATGTGAACAAGACCTTTTTTAAGGGTGGACCTGGTCATGGAGGTAAATTTAGACACTGCTGTTTTCCTTTTATGTGGTTTTCTTTCATATTCTCCGTATAATCTTAATTCGTTGAAGCCAACTCGGGACACTCCGCACACATCACCTTTTTCTCTTCTCTCCTGGTGGCGGAAAACAAGACCTCCACTGCTCTTACGTTCATCTGTGTGTGTTTTCAGATTGTGAAGGTTTGGAGCGAGGATGGTGCCGGCAAAGTGGTGGAGATCCCGGCAGACATGACAGCGAGAGATGTGTGTCAGCTGCTGGTCTACAAGAGCCACTGCGTGGACGACAATGCCTGGACGCTGGTGGAGCACCACCCTGTCCTCGGCCTCGGTAAGGGAACTTGTCCAAACGTGGCTCTGATGCACCGATGCGTATCTGAGCAAATTTTTCCTTTTTGCAATTACATAAAATAGAGCCTTCCTTACACTTTATGTTAATACAGATTATTGCAATCAATGTAGCCAAGGTAAATGTGAACATAGCTAATTCTATCCGCCTTAATAGTTCACCAAAGCTCCAATATACACACTTAAAAGCATGTAAACCAGGTTAAGGAGGATTATATTTCCTCTATAGCCCTCTATTTGCCTACAGTGCATCTTTTTTGCTCTTGTGCATCATCACTGAACTCTTCCGTGCATCTGCAGAGGTAGACAGACTCTCCAGGGTGTGCCTATTGTGTTGTGCAAGACTTGAATTGGATCTTATCAGGGTAATGGAGCAAAACAATGAGATTTTATATCAATGAATGTTTTGAAAACACTTTATTTTATGTTCCTAAAGGAAACCCTAAAAGCTAGAGCTGTTTTCTGTTATTCAATACCAATGCGAACTGCAAATCTGCAATCTAACCCTAACCTTTCAAGCGGTGGCTTTGTCAAACTGTCTCTAGAGCTGCAGAATATCAATTAGTTCACTTTCAGGAACTTGAAGCTTTTTTTTACTAAACACCTTATATAGATGTTAGTGATCAAGGTCAGAAAGGTCAGGGAGGAAACTGGGGTCATTTTTATGATGGTGGTTTGTGTGGGTTGGTAACATCTCGTTATTTAGCAATACTAATAGTCATAGTGCAGCATTGATTTCCGCATTTATTCCTGGTTTTTGGTGAAATCTAAATCCTGAATAGACAATTTTCAGATTGTTTTCTTTTCCTTAGCTTCTCTGCTTCTTTTCTCACCAATGCTGCTGATGGCTAACGGAGTCTTGCTCCTTTAGTAACGGAGGGTAGTTCTGTTTTCTTCATCAGGCCAGTAGAGCTGGAACAAGCCAATTTCAACCTAAAACCCTTAAGGTTGATGCTTTTCAAGCTGAGGGTTGATTTTAATTTACACGTGTGGAATAAACTTCAACCTGTCCCTTCCTTCTTTTATGAATTCACTTTAGCTTGAGCTGCATGCGTGTATGCCTGTGTCTCCCTACCAGGGAGGTGTGGCAGCTATGGGATTATCCCTTTTCCATGTTCTACTTACAGTCCCTGCACCCTCCCTAATAATTTGCTCAAGGGGCTGGGGGGGAAAAGGGAGGGAGGGGTGACTGCTATTCCTCCTCACTTTTGCCGTGACTCCCTTTG